AAAGTGAGTGTTCAAAAAGTTTTGCTGTGACCATTTCACTGCAAACTAAGACCATCAGGATGGGATGGGATGGGAGAATGCAAAAAAGCTGTGGAAACACTTGCTTCTCAGCTCGTGTTCCCACAGCATTTCTGAGGGAACACGAGCATAGCATTTGTTTAATAGAAACACAAGTGGAAGTTTTGGAGAACAAGAAATGCTGTGGGAACACGAGCTGAGAGGTGAGTTTTTCCACAGCTTTTTCGAGTTCCCCCCAAACTCTCATGAGTGTTTCTAGAACTCAATAGAAACTCTGAGAACTTGTTTTTGTTTTCTTTTAGAAAATACCAAGACAAAACAAGAAAACAACTTGTTTGCTCCAGGCCTAGTCAATTAATAGAAATTGATATCAATCAGTGTCAATCACTGATTGCTATCGCTTGATATCTGCAATCAATAACAATCAAACTCACAGAGAAAATTATTCATCTACTGCTGTTGATTGGCAATAATCGACAACAATCGATAATTCCTGTCTTCAGAAATATCAACTGTTACTGATTGAAAAAAAAGAAAACAAAAACGATAATAACTACAAAGAGCAACAAAATCAGCACTAGCTCTATGTAATACTAGAAGAAGAAGAAGTTGTGTGCATCGTATCAGGCTTTAAATGCCTGCAGGCTAAATCCCAAATTTCTTTAACACCTTCCAAACTCCAAATACATTTGAAAACAGGAATGTCATATGTTGCATTTGTAATCTAACAGTATTCACAAGAATATTTTCAGCTTAAAATTGGCAGAAAAATAAGAATATTCAGCCTCGTCCAGAAAAGCAATATTCTTGTAAAAAAGAGTGTATGTTACTAGATTATATTTTTCTTTTGGTCTACTCTGAGATCTATTCTTACATTTTTATCCTAATGCTAATAACGGAAATCACTAGAACACTGACATCTGTTGTATATTTTGCTTTATCTTAATGCCAATGCTACAATAAGACTGGAATGTTTTACACTGCTACTCTGGCCTTAACTTGCTGTGGTGTCTTAAACTAGCAAAAAAAGATGTAAATTTATCCCAAAATGTTTCTGTTAGTTTTTTCTGTTCTTGTTATTTTGTTGATGATTGTACATGTAAAAGATTCCCAGGCTATGATAAAATGACTTAATAAAACCATTGCAGACAAATTTTGTCAAACATTTTATCAGTGTAACTTGTAAAAGGACAAAATTAATTTCTGATAACAATCAATAACAATCGATGAATCAGTCATTATTGATTACTATCAGCAATCGATAACAATGAAACCCACAACTTTTTTCTTCTTCGATTTTCTTTGATTGCTATTGGCAATCAATATCAATCTTTGAATGTTATCTATGATATAGATTATTGGTTTATCAATTGACCAAGCCTGGTTTACTTTGATCATAAAAATGTAAATTCCCTTTGCTCGCATCATCATTACGTCAACAGCTCCTGCTTGTTCTGTGTTTCACAATTTTAAACCAATAAGCACACATTTTCTTTGGGCTATTTTCTTATTATTTGTATTAGTGCTGAAAACTGCACTATTATTCTCACATTAGAATGATGCCCAGATTCTGAATATTTCACGAGCAATCTATATGTATGTTAAAAATTCAGTTTCACTTTGCATTCTGTCCATTTTACTTTCTAGATAAAATATTGAATTCTAGCTTGCCCTTCGGACTAGCAGCTCTCAAATTTTGCTTGCCTTTGGCAAGGCTTAGTTATTTTTTTTTTTATTATTTAGTTGGCAGACAACTAGCCTGGGCTCTTGTTCATTGGGCAAGTGACAATGAAAAGTTACGTGCCCAGCAGGAAAATCTCCTTGTCTTACATGTAGACTACTAAATGGCACTTTTTTTGAGCCCTATTTTTTGTGTGTAACTGAGCTCCTTTAACACTAGGGCAGCGGGACAAAGACAGTAATGTTTTTACATGTTATAGGTAGCTTGGTCTGTATGATTGTTTAAAAAAATCAACAGCTCACTTGATTGTTGTATTATTTTATTCTTTTACATAGGTTTGTCACCCATCTGATGAAGCGTATCCAGAAGGGTGCTGTGCGTGGAATTTCCATCAAATTGCAGGAGGAGGAACGTGAACGAAGGGACAACTATGTACCAGAGGTGAGCAGGATTAGATTGTAGGGTGAGACTGATATTGAATGGGACATAATTATAGCCAAATCTCATTTTTGCACTTGTAAACAAAATTATCTATTCGCCTGCCCAACAATACCCCTGCATGAAAGATACCTATGATTTGACTCAAAAAATAGCCTTTTGTATATTTCATGAGTCATGGTTTTAAATAGTGACCTTACACAAAATGCAATGGCAACTACAGAAAGCTTAATAAGCAGAACAATGGGTCTCTGTGTGTATTATTTACATTGGTACTTTTCAAGTTTGTTACCAAGACCAAGGTCTCCGGTGACTCAAAACTTAACGAGAGTCCTGGCTACCAGAAGCACTCTTGATGTTGTTTTACTGGTTTTGTTCATGCTCATGGGTGCTTTCCTCATGCAGGTGTCTGCCATTGAGCAAGATATCATTGAGGTTGACCCAGACACCAAAGAAATGTTGAAAGTCTTGGTAAGTGACTGTTCTGATATTATGTATGTACATTGTCTTCCTTCAAAGACCGCTTGTAAGGGTTATCATCCATAATTTCCAGGGATATCTGTAGTGTCTCCATTGTCTTCATCTATTCCTGGGACAACTTTGATATCTGCATTTTCTATGCATATTTCCCACCATATTGTAAACAATATTTTATTTTCTGATGTTGAAAATAGCAGGGGTCCCCCGGTCAAGGAAAGCAATATTTGTGACATGTACATGTATATTTCAAGGATTGGGGAATTCTAAATTCAGGCAGCAATTTACATTTTTCAGTTTTCAGGGAATTCTAACTTCAGTCAAGAAAGTCTTTTTGAGATTAACATAATGTTCCCAACAACCCCTTTCTTGTTCTCCCAAAATAAGATAGTGGAATGGACAATAAATACAAGCAAACCAAAGACATTCCAAAAATGTTATGCTGGAACATTTGATCACAGTCTTCATCACTAAAAATTGTAAATCTGGTTGTGAAGTCATAATTCCAGACACTTTCTGTCTGAAGACTCATTCTCAACCTTGAGTATACTTTCACTCAATTTTTGGACTTTTTGTTTGAAGATTTTTGTTGTGTTTTTTTTTTTTCACATAGTCTTGAAAGTAAATGAAATTTGCACTTAAGGTTACTGTACATGTATGCCTCTAGAGGTGTCTCATGTCCAAGTGAGAGGTGCATTCAGTTTTTAAAAACTGTAGATACCTACACCCCTATATTATATTAAAGATCATTGAATTTTGAAAGAAAATGAATTGTTGAATTTTTGACAACCTCTACATGTACATGTAAATTTGAGCGTGCAAATCACCCTTTGGAAACTACAAGTCAAAGAGAATTTCTTCATTTGCCCTCAAATTTGGGCGGTAGCTACAATTGTAGTTTAACATATAAACTACAAAAAGTTGTCTGTGAATTTTTTATTTCAAAATATTTTTTTCTCTGAGAGCAATTTTTGTATGATAACTCCTTACTTTTTTAAAATCCTTTTTCAAAAATGTTCACTGCAATTAAATGTAGCAAAACACAGACACATTTCTTAAGCGCTTTGGGTCCAGAAGCTGAGGAACAAATTACATTGGCAAAAAACAAAATTTCCCTTGACTTGCAGCTTTCAAAAGGTGATTCGGATGCTGGCATTTAGAGGTCATGGAAAATTCAACAATTACTTTTATTTCAAAATTCTTGGTATACTTTAAAAGCCAGCTCTATAAACTTTAATATGATATGAGGATTTAGTACTGGATGCATTACATTGCTTGGACACGAGACAGCTCTAAAGGTATACAGAAACCTTAACAACAAGCAGCAAAAGTAACCTGCTAGTTCCTTACTTTCATTATTTCAGGATTTTGGAAACATTTCTAACCTGCAAGTGACTCAGCCAATCAACGCTACTCAGAGTTTCCGCCCTGGTGGAGGCAGTGGTGGCATGAGATCTTAAAGGGCCACTTTGTTGTGCAAAAAATAATAAACATGTACAAATAGAGAACTGTGCCTTGTGCTTTGTGGCTGGAAATTCTGTCCCTTCGAAAAATAGCTCCAGAATCTTCTTGCAGATTTGTGTTTCTTTTTGCAAGATGGCAGGAATGTATAATTGGAGCCTTTTTCTAAATCCTGAAATTTTTGGGGTAGGGTCCTTCAGGTGGTCCTTGTGAAAACATCTTAAAAACTACTAGTGCCTAGTCCTCCCTGAAAAACGTTCAACGGACCAGACTTATAACATCATCGACTGACGAACACTATTCACTTGACTCTGAAGATGACTTCCGCTCAGATTTTGGCTCTCTGCTTGTTCAAGTGTGGCTTTAATTAGAGAAAAAAAACTATGGGCACTTACTTGTTCAAGTGTGACATCAATTAGAGAAAGGAAAAACAAAAACATCTTGGAACAGATTGCTAGCTATGTAGCGCTTGTCTTGATTAAGAGAACTTTCCTAGAAGGAAGTCTGTCCCAGAAGCAGTGCTGTCATTGGCAGTTGAGGGGTTGGGGTAGTGTGCATAAAGTTTCCCAATTCTGCCTTATTAGTATGCCGCAGTCTCCTCACTTGTGATCGCGAAACATTGCGCAATTCTACTTTCCATTTCTCCCCTCCCTTGTGTGACTCAATCCCCGTTTAATACAGGGTCGCCACCTCCTGTCCTCCCCCCCTCTCCCCCGAACCATTGTGCCGACGGCATGATGTAACACAATTAAGTCCAATTATCACTGAATAGATAGAACTTATCTCTAGCCACGCTACATACCGCTGGTTATATTTACAGGATTAAATTTCCGTCTGCAACGAAGGCGACTATAGTTACACGTGTTATAAAACAAATCTTATTCATGATTGACAGAAACGTTTTTTTTTTTGTTTTGTTTTGTGTTTTTTTGTGAATCGGTTGAATAAGCTCTGTTCAGCATACCTTCGCATCCAAGTTTACGTTAACAAAACATGCGATTCGGTAAGTTCTTTTCCGGTTTCAGCCGCCAGCGAAACGTCATTCAAGAATAGTGTTCTGGTCTAGTGATCGAATTTCTTTGTAATTTGAAACGTGCGTTTTACGGGTCAGAAATCGACACATGATTCAGATGTGACTGTTGCCATGCATAAGGCATTTGTTGTCTGCTTGATCGAGTGGAAAAACTAACGTCCTCAAACGATTTCAAACAGCAGGATCAAAGACAGTGTTAAAATATTTACTGAGGGCTCAGTGATACCGAGGCGACAGTCCTTAGATGTGTCGCAAGTGTTGAAGAAAGTCAGGAAGTGGAAGGGACACAGTGATGGTAACTTTAAGACGACCTCGCTACGAGGAACACAGACCATTTATGCGACGAACGCACGTTCCAAATACATCTAGTTCAACTGAATTTCAAGTGATAACTCTACACGATCCAGTCGTGGATCCTGAGTGGATGTTTCATCATCCTCGCTTTCGACGCGACACAAAAACATCAGGGACCTTACCTCAAAATGAAAGAGGGTTTTATGCCAAGAAAATTTACAGCCGCGTCCCTAGTGCGACCGGAAACTCACGTAGTAAGCTTCTCTGTGAACGAAGGGAGCGAAGTGGTCAAGGAAATACGGCGTGTCGACATTTTTGCGAATTGCTAGGCCCTAACTTGTGTAAGGAATGCTGGAAACTTCTTCAAAGGGCAGACGCGTTGAAAGAGCATCGTGCAAGTGACGCACGCGAATTGAAGAGCGGCAAGGACTCATTTAGCGCGATGATTGCCGCGCGTGAAAAAAGAATCGAAGATAACGACAGCGAGGAAGACATTCTCGATGAAACAGAAGATGAAGAGTTTATTTTTCAGTCGATCAGTTCAAGAAAAACAAGCTCGATGACACCGCCTCAAGATAGTGGCTATTCAAGTCGGATGAGTTACATCCGAAGCCTCAGTACGACTCCCTCGGGTGATTTTTGTCCTCGCGTGACTTCACGTTCCAAGTTCACGCGTGGTAACGTAAGAAACTCCGGTGATGAAAGACGAGTTTCCGCGAAGGAAGCAACTCCACCGATCTGGAAGAACGCGTACTTAGCAAAACTCCGTGAAAAAGAACCTTTCAGAGACATTTTGACAAACAGTCTTCATTATCCAAGGAAGTTGAGGCACGCTTGGCGAGATTTGCCAGTAGAACCGGTCGTAATGGATTTGAAATTTATTAATTTTACTATTTATGACGACACAAGACTCAACGAAAGAGCAGTTAACAAGAATGCTAAGGCATAAAAGATAATATAAAATCTGGATGAAAAGTAATTATTATAAATTAATCTATAGCGCGAATTTCAATGTTAAAAAATTTGAACTGATTCGAGTAAAAATGGATTGAAAGATATCTTTTTCTTTAGCCAATTAAAGGTAAAAAGAAAACCAATCACAATCGGCCGCGGGCAACGCGTGGATTTTCCCGCGCTTGGCGTCGCGATCGGTTGCACGCTTCTTGCTTCCAGTTGATTGGTCGATTTATTGCGTGATTTGCGTTTGCCGTGACTGGCCAAATTTCGTTCCTGATGGCAGTCAAGAAAGGCTCCAATAGTCTTGTAAAGTACAGAAAAAAGTAGCAAGTAACGCGATAAAATAAGAGGACTTTTTCTTGCCATTTTGTTTTTGTGGCTTACTCTCGCAGCCTAGATTCCAACGGCATCCAAATAACGTCCAATATAGATTTACAGTTTGATTTTCTGGAAAGAATCTGGTATAAAAATAATTTCTAGTTCGTTTCGGATCTAACTGGTAATCCTCTTTTAATTGGATACTGCATGTTAACTGCCGTGTAGGGCATTTGTTTGATAGAACTTGACATGTGTGCCTAAGTAAGTGAGTAAAAGTGGACACACCCCTCTTATTACATCCCTCTTATTACATCCAACCCAAACAAGCATAGCTCATAGGAGGTCCTCATAAGAACGGCAGTAAAAGAGGACTGAATTGACGGATAAGTTAATATTGCTACTTCGAAAAATTGGATAAGAACAGCACGAAATGAAAGGTCTTTTCGATAGTTTTTGCGAAGCTCTAGAGTTTCATCCAGAGTTTTTAAAACTTTCAACCCCCTTGTGCAGCAAAATTACCTTGATTACAGTGAAGGCCCCGTTTACACTACGCCGAAGAAATTTGAAAACCGTGTACACTAGTCCGTCACGAAAAGGGAGCTTTTCGAAAGCGCTCTTCAAACCGGCGAAATTTGAAAACGCTGGCTTTGCGTTTTAGTGCGGACGGAAAACATTTTGATTCATTTTGAAAACAGAGCTTTTGAAAATGATGACGTCACGCTAATCACGTGATTTCCCTGCCCGAGTCTTCCTCAAACACAAATCCAAAATGACCGGTGATTGTTGCGTTTTCAAATTCCTCCGGCATAGTGTGGACGGAAAACATTTGATGCGTTTGGAGAGTGAAACCTCCGTTTTCAAATTGCTGCGGCGTAGTGTGGAAGAGACCCTACCTTAATGAGCATACTACTCAATCATTATTAGAGGTTCCACCATTATTGTGGCCACACACTAAGAGCGTTGAACGAACTCTAGATCACACTTACAAAACCAAGCTTTTTTCATTTTTGTTGCTTTTATTTGTATAAGTGTACATATACACAATCCTTCATTATCGACGCAGTTATAAAAATATTGACACAGGATCGATGCATTCAGTATATATTAAAAAACACCATGGTGTTTGAACAAATTAACAAAGTAAAAGTGAAGGAACCTTTCATATTAAAAACGTACAGTCTTGAAACAATATTTTCATCGCGGTTACAAGTAATATTTTTCTTTTTTTTTTTTTTTCTTTTTTGAATTTCCTATCTTTGCTAACATACTACACGATACACTAGCTATCGAAGCACAGTAAATGGTGGGCAATTCAAACAAAGTCAACTCCGGCATTGCAGAATCGTTCCTTCTACAGACAAACTGAATTCAAGAAGAGTTGCAGAAACAAAAATATCTGCACGCTATTGAAGACTCTCTCTTCTTGTTACGGATACCAATCGCGGCCCCTGTTAGTTAAAATGGGAGCTGACTGTGTTTACGAATCCCACTTGGACTGTACCATTACTTCATCAACACTATGTAGGGGAAACGAGCCTAACTCTATGAAGGAAAAAATTGGATTACGTAGCTTCCTCTAGAGCACCTTAAAACCTAAGATTACAATTACATGGGTTGACCATGATAATATGACGACAATCTAAGTTCATTTGTTAATCTAGGCACGCAACGCGTGCAAATTTCTTTTAACTGAATGTGAACCAGAGACTACCTTGTTATGTGTACTCAATATAGCGTATCTTTTAGATTCGTACTGAAGACAGTCGTGTGAGTAGTTCAGGGGCATTCCATTTCATTCTTAGGAGAAGGCGGGGGGGGGGGGGGGTATTTGACGAAAAACAACCTACGTAGGGAAAGTGATGCAAATTTCTTTTAACTGAATGTGAACCAGGGACTACCTTGTTATGTGTACTCAAATATAGCGTATCTTTTAGATTCGTACTGAAGACAGTCATGTGAGTAGTTCAGGGGCATTCCATTTCATTCTTGGGAGGAGGCGGGGGGGCGGTGGGGCGGATTTGACGAAAAACCACCTACGTAGGGAAAGTGGTGTAAAAGATCCTAAACAACCCGACGATTAAAGAAAATCAGAGCTTCTTTTGGGATCTTTTGCTGGTCTAAAACGTTTTAACAGCACGTTAAGTGGAAAAAAAGTATTGCCAAACATTAATGTGAACAAAAAATGGTATTAGTGAGAATAACTGCACAACCTTCCCTCACCCCTAAGGACATAAAATGGTCCGCCACCGATTCTATGGATAAATTACTACACAGTCGAGGGTGCTAAGACTGTAATTAAAAAGATAAATACATATCAAAGAGCTTAACATGAAAAAAAAATAGTGAAATACAAGAAGCAATTTTTCGATATAACCCAATCACGCAGCAGGACAAAATGCTAGGGTAGAGCTGATGACATAGCAACCGCACTGACTGAAAATAAACGCGGGCTCGATCTCTTGTAGAAATAATTATTTATCTGAAGAAAATGTCGCGGCAAACAATACAGATGTCATAACACCCTCAACGCAACAGTTATGGAGATTATCCTCTTAAAAGAAAGGCATTTAAATAAGAATGTTTGATTATCTTCGTTAAAAAAGTTTCACAATACGTTCCCGAAACGATTTGACCAGGTTTAAAAAACGCTTTTTAAGGGCATCGTTTAAGTAATCAAGGAAAATATTATCATCGTAATTCAGATTTCTTTACTTATTTACAATGGTGAATGGATTGTTTTTTTATAATAGAAACAACGAGTTGGCCTTCTTAGCAACCCTGATTAGAAGATTCAACAACAGTACGAAGTATAATATTTTCATTGACGAGGAATTTTCCTCGACTTTTAACAGTACAAAAAAGTCAAAATATGACGAACTTTTCTGATTTATGTGAAATCAAATTCTGAGCTTCCGTAATCAACTGGACAGGAAAAATAATCTGAAACCAGATACCACAATCACACGTTTTGTCTCAAAACACTCGAACATTCTTGTCCTTGCATCGTACTTGCAAGGCTAGGATACAAAAACGCTACAGTGACACTACACTATAAAGTTAAATCTTACATAAATTCTTGCTTTGTCGTGAATATAAGGAACAGTGAAAATTTTCTTCGAAATTAGGAGTATGAAGATCGATAAATAGTATATTGAATAAAAGATATCACGAAAGAACTTAATTATGTGATTTAAAACGTGTTACTTCAGCAACGAATCATGTTCAACTTGTTTCTAAATAGAGCTTGGCTTGAAAACACCAGCAACAAGTTTGGACCTCTCCCAGTAATTTTCTCTTGACCAACTAAGGGGAGGTTGACCAGGAAAATCAAATTCCGGAGGGGGCGAGGGTATGTAACTAAAATATAAGTTAATTTGACAAAGCAAATGGTAGCTCAAATTTAACGAACGAATATGCTAAAATAATTCTGATTAAACTGTCAATGAAGCAACTTACATGGTCATGTGGTCTTGCAGAAATAAAATTGCAGTACTTTACGAAATATTACTTTTCTAAACTCTACTTTCTAACAGGATTTAAAAGCGGTTTTCAACTGGCTCTCGAGAATGAAGCTCTGTGATTGGTTCAGTAGAAGAGCTGTTCTAATTGGTTCATAATTTATCAAACCAATCAAAGCCAACATACGGGATGTTTGATATTCGACCATAATTGAAACCGACCTCGGTTTTGTCCGCCTTATCTTCATTTTACGAGAGCCACCAGAAAAACACTTCGTAAGCCTATACACTGTATTATAATCGACGAATAAAAATAACATAGTTAAGTTAGTAATCTTCGTTACTTTTTGGAGAATCCGGTCGATTTTGCCGCGCAAACAAAACTCCTTGATACACGACGCCATTAAGTTCTACAGACACCAATAACGAGTTGTCGCTCACTTGGTCTAGCAAGGTCAGCGGCAACTGCCGCGGCTCCCGGCCGCGTGATCTTTCTGGATCGGGAAACTGGAACTGACCGCTCTGAGCCATACCTGGTTGACACAAAGAAAATTCGAATATTAGTCCACAGCCAAAGGCCATTTACGAGATAGAGTTTTTCTCTGTATGAAAATTAGTCTTCGAGCGAAAGAATTCATCTGAAAATGTGTATCACTTTCCATATACATAAACTCCGTTTTTTTTTTAAAGTTAAATATTACATACCTTTAGGCTGAGTTTGTATTTTAATATGTGTCCAAGGCAGCTGAGTCGGTGTTGGTTTATTGTTTCGCTCATTCACAGCAGCAAATTTCTTGACTGGTGAACCACAAGGAGATGTATCGGACGGGGAGGAGGACACGCCCCGTGACGTCACTTCCGTCACGCTAGAGGAACGTTTTGGGCTGTACTGAACTACGCCTGGAGAATGCAGCATAGCAACGCCGTTGTTGCCATGGACTGACGGAGGCACGTGCACCTTTAAAAGGAATGATTAACATGATTTAAAATTGAGATTCTACATTATTTAATTTTTACCATGATTTCATCACTATCATCGCTCAGAGCGCTGGACTTACAAGTCTACGACTGGGAAATGAAAGTAAAGTGCATTGTTGTCCTCTCTGAAACAAACTTACATCATGGTTTGATGCAGAGGGGCCTGGACTCGACCGGTGAGAGATTCCAGGAGAGCTGCTATTTCCTGTAAAAGCAGGCGGCGTTGTTGTAGGACTGGGGCTGTTATAGACATGTGTACCATCTGAAGGCACAGCTTGAGACAGGAATGAACCAAACGATCTGCGACTGTCTCGCCGGTTTCCGTCAATTGCGGCTTGAAGTTCGGCTGGAGAGGACAGTTTCTTCTTTGAGCATTCATAAGGATAAAGATATTTCATGTATCTGTGGTTGAAAACGGAAAAGTGTAAAGATTTTTAGTTAACTTTACACACAGTGTTCGTTTTGAACTTAACGGTAATGGTACAAATCCGGACTATTACATCAAGCTATTGTATTTGAGTGGACTGGGCTTTCAATTCGAAATCACAAGTCGTAATCAAAAGAATACTGGCGTGACCTCAACATATCACGCAAGCATCAGCATCAGATATTCTGTTGTTTACTTTGGTTGAAAGAAGTAGATGTGCAAAGTATTTACAGCAAGCCTCCAAAATATATTACCACTCTTTGCAATGATTACGCTCCCCACAGATCTTGTTGTACATCTCCCAACTCGTGCACTTCGGGAGAGCGTGGCGACCCGAAGATATTTGAAATTCAGTACGGAATTCAGCAATCGGCATTTTTAAACAACCTTTTTCTACTCACTGAGTTCGAAGAGTAAACGCCGCACTTGTTACTGATGCCGGCAGACTAAGGCCTTTAATGATCTCTCGCCATATTTTCTTGTTTATAACCTGAGAGAAAAAATTAAAAACACCATGACGTATTTCGTACCCCAATGGGCCGGAGAACACAAAAAATTCTGAAACTAATTTTCCACCTCTCACCTCAACAAGTCCTCCTTTTTCAACGACCAGCTTGAACAGTTTGAATAAATCTAATGTTTGTTTTGCCATTATAGGAACTCTGTTAACTGGAGTGCCTGAAAACAAAACAGAAAAAACATCATAAGGAATTTACAAACCGCTGAAACCACCAGAAGACATTCTCAACACGGGTTGCACAAAAAGGCGCGAAATTCTGCAAGCGCAGTTGCGACACGTGATTTTACAATAAGAAATCAACCAATCGTAAGAGGTGCTTCTCGACGCGGGCTGCCGGAAAAGGCGGGAAGTTGACTGTATAAAATCTAAACTTGCGACTACTTTTTTGTCGGCGGATTGAAAATCAGAAAAATATGCGTTCACAACACTCTTTCGCTTTGAAAACTGCTGCAATTTAGTACGAAGGAAAAATATGGAAAACCTTGTGGCCTTAAGACGCGTCTTAGTGGCAAGTAAGTACAGGTTTTAACCATTTGACTTCACGATGTCTTACGACGTGACCTCTGAGCACATTCAACCGCATGGGAACTTGATAGTACAAAATCTTAGTGTTTGACAGACTAAAGCTTATATACTTAAGCAGGGTTTGTGTTTTAATCCCGGGTTTTAGTCCTGATGCTTGAAAAACCGTCACTTGTAAAGAGAAACTAAACTAATTTTGTAAACCCGGCAGGTCTTGTTTACAGCTGGGAATTCATCGCTCGCGGGGAAATTCGATAATTGGAAATGGAAAAATCGCTGCTCACGTTTTCAAAATGATTGATTTTTATATCCATGTTAATCTTTGTCATTTTGAGATATCCTTTCTCTCTCACAAGTTCCTGTTATGTTTCAGTGCTTTTCTGTCATACCAAACAATTGTTGTCTGATATCCTTCGCTGTTCTGGACTTAATGCCATAAAAATGGTAAATTATTACTAAAATTTTACAGAATAACTCACCTCTTTTCTGCATAAAGGAAAATAAATCATCCAGGAATTCTTTCCTCTCTGGTTCAGTACCCAATTCATACAACTGACAACAAAAAGCAGTAAAAAGAACACGATTATATGAGACATAATCAGGAAATCCATTTCTCTCTGAGTGTTTACTTATTTGCTTCACTCAGAAAGTTCACATGAATTGAAATTAAGCAAAACACAATTGTAAAGGCATTTGATACCACTAAAAGAGATGCTTATTATTCGGTTTATAATAATACACATAGTTTGATTTAAGTAAATGGGTTTTCAGTGGTAAGAATTACATGTACATGTAAGTAAATTACATGTACATGTAAGTAAATGGCATTCAGTCTTAAATGGCATTCAGTCTTCTTCCAAACCAGTGCTCTCCGGGGTCCCGCAAGGCTCAATTTTGGGCCCTGTATTATTTTTACTGTGTATAAATGACATCTCTTCTTCTGTAAAGTCACGTCTACGCCTCTTTGCAGATGATTGCATCCTCTATAGTGAAATCCGTGAAGTACAGGACTGTTGGGCTCTGCAGGATGATCTTGAACAATTGTCACTCTGGTCAAACACCTGGCAACTTAACTTTAACGTCAAGAAGTGTTATCAACTTGGTATAACGCGTAAGAAAATTCCAACTATGTTCCAATATTCATTGGCTGGCCAGCCCATTTCTAGAGTTTCCTCAGCCCAGTACCTTGGAGTCACCGTGACAGACAAT